TCCTGACACATCATTGATTTGATGGTTCTTATTGAACGTACCACTACCATCCAGTTTGGGTGATGGTTATAGGATGGAATATAGATGATCGGCGCTTTTAGATGATAGTCACAGGGGTCTATAAACCCGACCTGGGTGATGCTGCCATAAAGTATCTGTAATTACTACTAAAACTAGGTCCTTCCTAGTTTTTGACTTTTAGGGTAGAATGTCGCGTTGGACAGGTGACCAAGCCTTTCTTGATGGGTTTAGGTTGCACATGTGAATTGTTTTTCTTCTTTGGAGGGCCACAGATTCCCGTCTATCTTGGGTATATCATACCCTATTCCCTGTAACAGTGGCTGATGATGGTTCCAACACATGTGGAATGATGCCTAGTTGTCAAGCTTCCACTGAAAACCACTTTCCACGTCCTCCCTTGCTGGATAGAGGGTGAAGTCTGCAGAAGTACAAGAAACATCATACCCCCCTCCAACGAAGATAGAAGTGGAACTAACCCTCTAGAATAGAGGAAAAACTCCATGGAAGGGTTTGTTCCATCTTGGAAAATGTTTTGGACAAACGTTTGGAGACGGGCACAAACCATCTTCCATGCGAGGAAGATCGCTTGTCCTTACCGGTATCACGTTCAAAGGCCAAGTGACCCCTTTACAAGTCAAAACGACACATGGTCACAAGCAAAGGGCATCCAGTTCCAGTCACTTGTTCTGTAACTAGGCATTAGAGCTTTGGACCATGGACATCCATCGACCAGGAGATTCCGCTCAGGACCCTGGACTAGCATATAGACTTTTCGTTTCCTTTTGAACTTCGATCGAAATGGTTTCGAACTCCGGCACTAACAAGTTCCACTCTTCCAACGTGTTTTTGTTCTGCTTCTCAGCTGGTTTTCCACATGAAACTCTTCCTCGACAGGGATCTCAGGATTTCGATCAAGCAAAACAAAACTTTGTCACTTGTTCCAAGAAACCCGCCCGAACTAGGACGGTCGATTCCCCATTTTCATTGATGGCCTGTTCATGCAATTCTGCTTGTCAATCACGGGGAGCACGTTGCACATGTTGTCTCCCAGAAGGGTTCCTCGGTCGAGTTCATGACTCGGGGATGTAGTTTAGCTTCATTTTTTGGGGTCGGAGGAGTCTCGACACAACAAAGGAACTGATCAAACTGCAAATGTGTCATACCCCAGCTATACCAGAAGTGCGCAGTTCGTTTCTTTTTTGTTCAGTGATCCTTTTCTCAGTGTTTGGTTCACTCTGTTTTCGCCGTTGCATGGTTAGAAAATATATCTTCCTGCTCTTGTTTCCATCGGCTTGGGTGGTGGTTTGAAGACGCTTGATCATCCAGCTGCGAGGCTTTGTTTCAAGCTGACATTGACTGGGGCCTTGATGAAATCTTTGGGAATCTTATGCTTACTTGCGTTTGATTTCCGCAGCTGGCATGTGGACACGGGCCGCATTTACGGGCAGTTGGTCGGTTCTACAATATTGGCACAGCTCCCATCTGTTGAGCAGGTCGTTGGTTGGGGAGGTGCTGTGGGCCGGTGACCTTATGGCAAAGTTCGTTGGCTTTTGGTTAGAAACGATCAGCGTAACATAAGAAAAAAAAACTACCATGCCACAGGCGCATGGTGTTGAATGCCAATGCTTGCTGCGCATGTTCACGGACGCTTTGGCAACCGCAAGTTGAAGATACAATTGTTCTTGAACAGCATTGGAACCAAAGGACTGTGACCAAAGAGTTGTCACCAAACTGCGTATATCTGGATAGGCAGCCATGTGGTGACACTTGAGCTGGACCTGTTGCAATTGAATTGATTGCCCTGTTGTTGGGCAAATAGCTTTAAATGAACTCTAAATTTCTTGCCTAAACGGCTCACTGAAGATGGCCATGATGGAGATGTTTGAAAACACGTTGGGGAAATTTTGTTTTGCAAAGAATGCTGGTGAAAACTGCAAGCGTGCCGAGTGGAGCTAGAAGCGCAAAGTGCAGCTATCTTTGCAAACAGTAGAGGTGTGCAAGTGGGATTGCAAAGCCATTGGCAAACCCTGGAAAGGAAAGTGGGTGATGTCACCACCACCAGTAAAAAATCAGTGGGGGACATCGGCGTGGTTCAACTTTTGAGCTTCCAGATGAATGCGCTTGTGTGTGTGTGTACGTGTTCTTTCATCTGCTTGCGCGCGTGCGCAAAGCCCAAGACTTCAGCTCAGACAGGCTGCGCAAGAATAAACCGGACTTTGGAGATTGGTGGGCTGGTGTTGTTTACCAAGGAACCTGTATGGACAGTTTGGCCGCCGAAAGCCAAACAAAAGCCTTAGTGACGGGTGGCATCTTGAAAAAGCGCGGAAAGAAATATCTAGCCCACGGTGGCGTGGTTTGCTTTCAGCTTAGCATAGTGTGCAGATCCGGCAGCTTGTTTCAGAACAACACATCGCCATCTGTGAGCATAGCCACGGGCAATCATCACCTAGGTCTGAAGAGCAATGAGGCTTGAAAGCTGCCTGGAACGGACCTTCGCGTTCGTTGTCCGGAAGCCTGAACACGTGGCAAGTTTGGGGCCTAAAGGGTTGAAGCTTTCGGTCTGTAAACTGTTTGCTGCCTTTTCGCCAATGAAGCCCTATGTTGAAGCGTTCCAAAAGGCGCAGGTGAAATTTGCGGTGAAGTTTTGCGGTGAAATTTCACGCCCGTTCAGACCGCCGGCTTAGGTGATAGATGGCTCAGGGGCTGCTGGGTTGATTCGGCATTTTTTGGACTGTCAATGTCCTCTGAGCTCTTCTTTTCCTAGTCGAGAAAGAAAACGAACAGAAAAATGCGGGGAAGGATCGAAGTTCAAAAATTTTCGATCAAGCAGGTCGCGACCAGGAATTGAAAGGCCATTGCCAAACCAAACAGTGGCAGAAAAAGAGAAGGAAGCTATAAGGACATGAAACAACAATCCCGGGCGGCAATCGGACCCCGAAGCAAGGGCCCTTTTTGTGCTCCAGCTCTCGCAAGTTTGACGCCCACTGCCACGGCACCCCTTCGGTAGTCAGCTCAGCCGTCTGGCCTGCGAAGTCCTGAGCTGGCGCGAGGCGATGCCACAATTTCAATGAGAACGGCCCGATGCGGGGAGGCAAACTGCGGAAGGGAAGCATGGAGGGCGCGCTGGGAGACGCAGGGAACGAAACAAAAAGCGTTCTCCGCCCTCCATCTTCACACCGAAGGGCCTGGAAAGTAGAACCAAAATGTTCACGGTCCAGAGTGCGCAGAAGGTCGCCCGCACGGCAATTGTGGGCGTAGCCGACGGTGTCGAGCCACGTCTGGAGGTCGATACCCCGCAGCCGCGCCTGACTTAGATGGGCTGGGGTGTTGCTAACAGGTTGTAGGTTTTAAGGTAGTTAGTAATGCATTGTTAACTATATGGTAAACTCTTGGTAACTACTTGTTAACTAGTTATAATGTATTGCCCAAATTATAAGAATTACTATCTCTTACAAAAAATTAACTAATTATGTTATTTTACTTAAAGAGTTAGCAAAGTTAGTAACTGTTAGCTAATTTTTGACCAATGATTTACACAATTACATTGTAATGATTTAGATTTTGTTGTCATGAGAAAAACAACATTTGCACAAAGAGAAAAGTGTTTTTCTTGAAAAAAAAGATACAAAACAAAAAAATAAATAGTGCTCTGTGAAGATCAAAAGCTGGCAGTAACAAGTAAGAAACAGCAGCAAACACAATATGGTTTGATTGGGGCATGTGTTAGATTATTGCGAACATGCTATTGTCAATTTTGTTTTTCAAAAGCACTTGGTGCTGCAATTTCTTTTGATTGAAGCACTTGGTGATTTCCTTTGGAGGAAAACCACACCATTTTTAGAATCTATAGGCCAGCTGGTGAATGGTTTTGCCAGTTGAATGGTCTGGACACCATGCATTAGCTGTTTACAACTTAGGGATTGTTGGCCCAAAAATAATTTGCAGTAGCATGGCAGAAGTTCCAGCTGCAATGGTGGAGATCACTCCTACTTTTGCTTTGTCCTTCAATGGTGCAAAGCCTGTTGCCATACCACCCCACTTCATTGTCCAGGACTGATTTGTTTGTTCCTGGCTAAATGCTTTCTTTGAAGCAACACATGTTGGTTTTGGCTGGTGAATGGCATTGCATGTGGTTCATTGATAGCTGAAACATTGCAGGACATCAATGACAACAACTACTTGAAGATCCAAGGCAGCTCCCCTTTGATCAGCAGATTGATTTGTGGGTGCACTTTGAAAGGCCACTCATTCTCGAACTCCACTACTTTCAAGGAATTGAAGCAGAAGAGGAACCAGAAGCTCATGAGTGGGGACAAGAAGAAGCTCAAGACTGAACAGGTGGTGGAGATCAGAATTGGCTCCACAGATGTATCCATCCTGTGCCCTGGGAAGAGATCTGCATCAGCAGACCTCTTGGTCTTGATGGAAGAAAATCAGCTGAGCTGTATCTTCGACCTTCTGAAAAGTGATTGCAAAGACACTGGCAAAGCCAAAAGGTCTTACAAGAAGGGCAACAAGATGCCTGAAGCTGTTGAAGAGTCAGAGATGTCAGAGTAGTTGCAACTTTGAAGCTGGAGCATCAGCCTGCTGGGTCAAAAATGATGGCAGTTTAAGCTGCTGTGAATGGTTTTTACATGAATGCATGATGGCCAACCACCACCTGCTGGCATTGAAGCATGTGTCTTTTGATTTGCCTGCAAGGGCTGTGGTTATAAATTTTAGCCCAAGGCCTCAGCAATTTGTTACTGGGCATGATAGGGTGTTGTTTGCCTTTCAGGGCTTTTGCATTCTTTTTCAACTGCAGAGGAAAAGTTTCCCCTTGCTTTTGTATTATCCACAAGTTTTCTTGCTGTTCAAGCTTGAAGCTTGACAGTGGGGAATAGATTTCCAACAGCCATAATGAACCACATGTGTAAACAGCAGTACCACAAAACAACACAGCTTCTCTGACTTCATCCTTGTTGTAGTTCTTTGCAGCCATGTCCATTGGTCCTGAAACCATAAAAGAGATCAGTGGCTTGCTGAGCCCTACTTGCACTTTGGGCATCAACATCAGGCTGCAAAAGGTCTTGACTACTTTGGAAGGAGCTGGCCTGGTTTACAGTAGCTGCCTTACTCCTGGAGCTTTTCTGTGCCATCCTCAAAACAGAGGATCCTCCATGGTCAATGCCTTCAATGCGCACAAGAAAGGGCATGACATTTTGGAAGCAGGGGTGAAGGCAGAGCTGCTTCCACCCAACTCCTTGGCAGTTGAGGTTGCCATTGATTCCAAGGTGAAAGAGAACCAGTTTAAGTTGAACATGAAGATGGTCTCTGACTCCAATGGCCTTCTTGCTCCTGTTACTGGGCATGAGCGTTTCTTGACATTGGCCAACAGCCACTTTGTTCAATGGGCCAGGGCCATGGACAATGGCTGCAAAGGGCCTCATGGAAACCCTCTCACTGTGACCCCTGACATGAAGCCATTGCCCAGAGAAGGCTGGCAATGGAGAATCATTTCTAGTGAGGCTGAAAAGCTGTGGCCACAGCTTCCTGCATTTGCAGCTATGGCAATGAACAGCCACAACACCAACCAGATTACATCCAATGAGTTGGAAGCTATGATGCAACTTGCAGATCTTTACCAAGCAGGCATGAAGATGGATGAGGCAATCATTGCTGTTGAACACAGCTCACCATCCTGCAAGAAGTACATGCATGATGTCGCATACTTTTGCAAGATGTACTCTGGAGGGGAAAGCTTCCCTTTGTTGCAGTGCCTGGACAGCTACTGTAGCTTAGCATTCCTTCATTTGGTTTGGACTGCACCCTTTTGATTTTGGAAAGGTTGTTTTGTGCGACAATTTAGTTTGTGCAAACCAATTCTGCAGCTAGCAGGCAAAAGCTGTGGACATTCTCTCTTGATTGGAGAAGAACTCATGAACCTGTTAGCTCTGTACAACTTCAAAATCCCTGGGCACTCGATGGCCCTCACAAGGATTGCTTTGGCAGCATGCATGCTTTCAAGCAAAAAACATGCAGACAACATTTCCAAGTTGATCTGCAAATCAGATTTTGATAAGTTGAAATCCAAAGACTCCACAAAGAAGTTGGATGAGATTTTGAATACCATGTGGGCAGAAGCTCAGAAGCATGACAAGCAGTTGGCCTTCAAGTGTTTTGGCACTGCATGTGTCAGAATGGTTCTGCACCTCCTGGGGAAAGAGAAGATGGCCAAGCAGGAGGCCTTTGAATCTTTCCAACAAATTGTTGAAAAGTTTGAGGAGGAGCTGTCTGCTGGTATGGTTGCCCCACATGCTGTCCCATCTGCTCCAAGTGCTGGCTCTAGCCAAAATGTGCGAGATTTGGTGAACTGCTCCAGCAAAGATATTGCCCTTGTGCACAACAGCCACATCAAAGTTGGTGACAGGCACCTGTGTTTGAAACAATTTTGTGTTTCTGCAAATGTTTCTATAGTTTTGATGGAAATGTATAAAAGCACATACAAGATAGAGACACACATTTATTTTGATCCACTACCACATTGCCAGGTACACCCATGCTGACCATGAAGGCCAGATCTTTGTCCTTGCCTCTTTGGAAAATGATGGTGCCAAGTTTCGCTTCAAGCCTCTCTTTGGAGATGTACTGGAAGTGTCAGAGAGCTTGGATGCTTTGAAGAAATGGAAGCCCACAAAGAAAGAGAATCAATCCCTCCATGACCAGGAGCTTTGCATTCAGAGGCTTCCTCATCACTATGACAGTGTTCTGAAAGAAATGGAGAAGATGGAAGTGAATGCTTTGCTGGTGGAGGCCTACAAGCAGAACATTCCCAAGGATGATGCCATGATTGGCTTCACCCAGCATCCCTCCAATGTGGTCTTGCTCAAGAAGGCCAAAAAGAAGGAAATCAAGTTGTTTCCACTTGGGCACTGCAGTGCTGTTGCTGACAAGGACTTGGAGCAAGTTGTCGAGAAGGGAAAGCAGGTCCTGGTGTACTATGCAGGCAAAGCCTATGCAGTTCAACCCTTCAAGACCCTCACCAATTTTGATAAAGCTGACAGTGGCTGCCTTTGCCCATACTTCTTTGTGAAGGCTTGCGATGATGAAGATCTTGTCAAGCTGACCACCACTTGGGTGGACCATAAGAGCTTGAAGATTCCTGTCTTGGAAAACAAAGATGTCATTGAAGCAAAAACATTGCTCTTCAAGGATGACAGTGAGACCTCCATTGCCAAAGGCTTGAAGGCAGTACAGCCACCCAAGAAGAAAGTCGGGAAGGGTGACAACTAGGGCAAACCTATCTTTGAGCATTTGCTTGGAAAAAAGGTTGCCCAGGCCCACACACTTTACATTTTACCTCACACATGTCAAGCATGTGCAGTTTAAATTGTGATCTGCACACACAGCATTCATGAACAATCACATGCATACTCAAGATTAATTTCTGAGTTTATCATCTTCTTTTGCCAAAACTAAACCAGTGAGCCTAGAGGGCTTTGAGTTTTATTTTCATGCCTCTCAGGGCTTCAGTTGCGCAGGCTTTTGTAATGGTTTATTATGTTTGGGTGGTGGTGCTTTTGTAGTGGTTTACTATGTTTTGGTGGTGGTACATAGGGTAACCAGGTAATTTCTTAACATCCACTCATGTAGAGCATGGTGATTTTGGCATGGAAATGCATTGCACTGTCATGCAGTGGCTGTTTTGTTCTCTAGCCTTCTAATGTCAAGCATAGGACTCCAATTATCAGGTGTTGAACTTGTATCAATATTCATTGGAAACAAAACAAACAGCCATTGCTACTAGTCTGGTGACAATCCTTGTGCCAGCCGTGAAAAGGGAGCCACCTGATGATGAGGAGACAGCCCCATGGAAATCTCTCAGGAAGAGACCTAGGCTACCAATGCCAGTGGACCAGTCAAAGATGAAGCAGTACATGGCCAAAGCTACAGTCCCCAAAGTTGCCACTAATAAAGACGATGCTTTGGTATTGCTTAAAAGGTAAGAATTTCTAAAGCATAGACACCAAGAGTTGCAATTTGATAACAATTTGTTTGGGTGACAAAATAGTTTATTCTAAACAGTTGGGTGAATATATCAGTCCTGTCCATGTGCTCAGGACAAACCGATGCAGTCTGAAGAGTTTGCAGACCAGGTCTTGGGATTGTTGGTGACCTTTGCCCACCACCTCGATGAATCAGGTATCACTTCAGCTGCTGAAGAAGATGCAGGAGATTCCCAAGGTCCAGCAGTTCCTAAAGATGAACCTGTTGATGGAGCAACTGTGAAAGCTGGACCTCCTCTACCACCAGAATCTCTGAAACCTTCAGGTTGTCATGGAGCAGAAGTTTCCAGCAGCAGCTCTGGATGTAAATCCAGACCACCACCACCACCGATGGCTCCTACATCCAAGTATGCTCCTTGTATTCCCACTGCACCTCCTGACTATCAACTCAGCAGCCAGAGTAGATTGGTTTGCCATCCTGAACAAATGAAGAAATTTCTGTATGGCAGTTCTCAGAAGTCCCAAGCATCAGCACAAACTGGTTATGAGTCTATGATGATCATTTAATACATATGTTTTATTCTAGTGATTGTATGTGTTATCACTATTCTTATTGACTTATATTATTCACATAATTAGTTTTTATAAATGTATTGTGATTTGATGTGATCTCATACTACATTGGATCATTTTGATCACTAAGGAAATGGAATGGGCTCCACCAGTCCAAGGAGGTGGCTGGTTCAAGAAAATAGGTGGACTGCTGGTGGCTTGGAGGTTGGGAGATGTGCATCGCATGCGTAGATTGCTACAAAGGTGGGAGAATGTGCCCACAATGCAGATATACACACAGAGTTTGTTGGCATTTGTCAAAGCCCATGGGTGGCCAAAGAATCTAGAAGGTGAGTATGGACTTCATGCACCATAGATTCTCACCAATGCTGTGAAACAGCAAATTTTGTTTGAGAAATATATACTATTGTGCTATATAGAATTTTGTATTTATTGATTCAATGAATATATTTCAAATTGAATTTCAAATTGAAATTGAAATATTTTCAATTTCAATTTGAAATTCAAATTGAAATTGAAAATATCTTAATTTCAATTTGTATTTCAAATTGAAATTGAGATATTTTCAATTTCAATTTGAATTTCAAATTGAAATTGAAATAATTCAATATGCAATAAATTTGTATTTTGACATTTTTTAATATTTCAGTCATTGATTATATAAATATTGTTTTATATTATAATAGTAATTGTTACATATTTTCATTTAGATTGATTGTTATTTGTTAGACTTATAGCCTTTAGGGCTTTCCAAATTTATATCATCAGCACTTGGTGCTTTCATTTTTGTTAGAGATTGCAAACACTGTTGCATGTTGCAATCATAATTACATTGCAATGATTATGGCAGTCAAGACCATTTGATTGTACACAATACTTATATAATATATTCAACAACCATATGGCTGCCAATTGTGTTAGTTTCTGACACTTTTCAGTCTGGGCTCTCAGTCCTGTTGAACCACTGCAAGTCAGCCATGAGTGGTTTGAGAGCCAGAAGACCTTGTGGAGAGAAGGTTGCAGAAGAGTACAGGAAGTGGGAAGATAGCCATGGTAATAAGACCTTGTGGCATGTAAAGGTCTATTCTTCTGGCTGGATGAAATGGACCATTGGTTTTTGATTTCATTAAAATTTTGCACTATTAACTCACAATTGTTTTACATTATTGACTCACTATTGACTCACTATGTGCAATTACTTTATTGACCTACCCACTAAGGAAAGATGCTTTGGAGCATATGAAGAAGCATGACAGACCAGGTCTCTTCCCCACAAGCTTCCAGAATGTTGTCAGGATGCACTACACTGTTGCTGGAGTGCCCTGCCCTTGCGTTGAGGAGATCTTTGCCTGAGTGATTGGCCTAGCCTGCCACTAGAACAGTGTCATACTTCTGACACAACCAGAGCACATACAGTTTAAATACTGTGTGAAGAGAAACATTGGAGTTGAAAATAGCATTTCATCAAATCATGTTTGTTTACTTGCCCATGGGGCTTTCATTTTTCTTGATGACAGTAGTGCATTTGAATGCACAACTCCAACACATGAGAATCATAATACTCACACATGATACATTTGTTGCTTCTGAAAGCATGCTATGTGGTTTGGCCTTTTGGGCTTTTGTTTGTTGCTTGGTTTGGGTGTTATGGTATTGTGCTAGCTGTTTGGATTTGGAAAAAGTGTAGCTCAGCTCAGTTTAGCTGTGTTGGGGCTATGGCTTCATGGGATGTGCAAGATCTCCTCAAAGAAATTGCAGACATGGAAGTTATCAGCATGAGGAACCATAGCTCAGATCTCTTGCCAAAGATGCAGCAAGCTTTGGTGTCGAAGATTGAATGCACACAGTTGATCACACCCTCCAACTATGTCAAGATCATGGACTGCTTGGAAAAAACTACTTTGCCTGACCAGACCAAGCAGGCTTTGTCCACCAGCATTGAAAGCAAGTGTGCAGCTGGTGTTGAAGGCCCAGTCACTTTGCAAATTAAACCCCAAAGCATGACTATGCCTTGGAACTACCTTTGCAAGTCTGAGTGGGACAAGATCCAAGCTGAAGGGTGTACCACTGTGGAAGCAAGCCACATCCTGATCAAGAGGATCAAACTTTGTGGATTGAAGAGCTTGAAAGAAGACACCAAAAAGTTCATCACTTGCATGCTGGTTGCTTTGCAGATGCAGCTTGTGAACACAATTCCCTCCAAGCAGCAGATGTACTCCATGGCACAGTCTGTCTCTGCAGCCTTTGGGGCCATTGCTGTGGACCCTTTATATGGAGGCTTGTCCAAATATACACCAAGCCCTTATGAGTTGGGGGAGGCCTGGTTGCTGAAAACTGAAACACATTTATAGTTTGAATTATATTTTCCACAGCTCTTACAATCTCATTGGAACATAGCAATTTGTGCTAGAGCATTTGTCAAAAGCTTCAGGCATTCATGACAGCTGTCTACAGCCCTGATGACCTACCTCTGAGAAGAGCACCTGAGAAACTTATTTCTTGCGCAATGTGTGTTGGCCAGCAAATTAAAATCAGGGGCAGCTCAAAAGAGCTGAGTCAGCTGGTTGCCCAGTCTTCAGGCACCAGCCAAGATCCTTCTTCTGGTGGCATGAGCAGCCACATGGAGAACATAATGGCAATGAACAGCAAGCCTGATGACAGCTGTCTTGGACAAGGCAAAGATTTTAGATGAACTTGTCAGCCTGAAGATGTCTGATCGAGATAAAACAGATTTCCTCAGGAGTGGCAGTGGCAGCAGTTCTGGTCAGGAGGATCAGCCAGGCTTGTTGAATGCCAAAGCTTTACCTCCAGCAACAGAATCTGCACCTTTGCCTTTGCCTTCAACAAGTCCCTCTGAAGATGACACCAAAGAAAATAACACCACCAAGGACAAGCCCAGCATGAGTTTGGAAGAGTATGAAGCTCTAGCACACCAAAGCATTTCCAAAAAGGAAAGCAAAGAGCTTGGACTGTGCCATGAAGAGACCAGCTGCTTGCAAAGCAAAGCCTGGACCCAAACCAAAAGCCAAGGCCAAGAACAAGTCTTCCTCTTCCAGCAGCCAGCCTGCTTCTTTTGTGAAGAAAGGCATTTTTGGATGCATCAGGTGTCGTGGGAACACTAATGGATGTTCATCCTGCTGGAATCCAAACTTTCAAGGTCTGAGATTTTCATCCAGACAAGAGTGGGTTACTTGGAAGCAGCAACAGGATGCTGGCAAGTGAAAACATTTGCCCAAATCCTGTGGCTCTTGAACCAAGTTCTGGGGTTGCCACTTTAGGCATGAACCATGCAAACCAAGCATGGCTGGTGTGACATGACCTTTAGCTGTGTTGCAAAAATGGCAAACCACCAGCATTTGTTATGAGAGCTTCTTTCTGAACAACTGCAAATGCATGTTGCTTTTCTCCACACTTCATTTGACAGAAGTATTATTTTGAATGTTTGCTATTTGAGCTTTCATTTACACTTCAGCCTTTGAGGGCTTTCATGTTGAGTTCAAAAAGGCCAAATGCTTCAAAACAAGTTAAGTTTTTGAGTTGCTGCTCCAATGATAAAACATTTCAAGCCATGCAGCCCCATGCAAGGGTGCTCAAGAGCCTACAGCTCTGCTACAGGCATGCAACCATTCTTACAAGTGTCCCAACATGCATATTTTCACATGCCATTGATACAGTCAGTATTATGTTTACCAAACCAAGCACCAACACTAGAGT